TCTCTGCCTCTGGCTCCTGACACAGTGCTCCTAAAATCTGTGTAGATCTTTTCTTCTAGTATTTGGTCTTTGACCTGGTTCCTGACACAGAGCTAAGACCTTCTTCACTTGCTGAGTGATATGATTGTCTGACACAGAGGTCCTAAATTCCTCGACATTTCTTGGGCAATAGGAACATCTTTTCTTCAAGGAAAGTGACTCTTGCCAAGCTGCTGGATAGTCTCAGAGTGGGGACAGGCTGCCAGGAGAATAAACCATGTTATAAGAGGACTGGAACTTCCATTTTCTTCCCTGACCTCTGGGGAAGGGAAAGGAACTAAAGGTTAAACTGATCATAAATGGACAATTATGCAATTTATCATGCCTACATAACAAGTCTCCATAAAAACTCAAAAGGACAGGCTGGGAGAGCTTGCACACTGCTGAACAGCTATGGGTAGCTGGAGAGAAGCACATTTGGAGAGGTTATGGAAAGCCTCTTTCTCCCCAGCCTTTCTTCATCTAGCTGTTCATCTGTATCCTTATCTCTTTTTTTTTTTTGTTTTTTGAGACAGGGTCTCACTGTGTAGTTGAGACTGACCTGGACCTCACTATGTAGCCCAGGCTGGTCTCGAACTCACAGCAATCCTCCTGCCTCAGCCTCCCGAGTGCTGGGATTATAGGCATGCGCCACCATGCCCAGCTTCCTTCATTATCATTTATAAATATAATAATCCAGTAAATGAGCTTCCCTGAGTTCTGAGAGCTATCCTAACAAATTAATCAGATCCGAGAGGGCTCTGGGAACCCATATTAATGGAAATATAGGTGACAACCAGCTAATTGCAATTAGTAGCTGAGGGTGCGGACTGGTCTTGTGGGTCTGAGTACTTAAATTGTGGGATTGGTCTCTAAATTCATTTCCTGTTTTTCTTCCCTGTGCTCACACTACTCTAGCTACAATGGTGTCTTTGCCATTCTTTAAATTCATCCTATACACTCCATCTCAGGGTCTTTGTACTTGTAATATTCTCCAGACAGTCACAGGTAAAGCCCTAATTCCTTTATAGCTAGCCCTTTCCTAATTACCCCCCAAAAGACATCCCCTCATCTCTCTTTGTCCTTATTTTGATTATTCTCCAGAGCTTTATTTTGAAATAATTATCAATTCATATGAAGTTGTAAGAAATAACAGATATCCTATGGACCCTATACTCAGTCTCCTCCAATAGTTACACTTTACAAAACTCTAGTAAAATGTCACAACTAGAGCTTAACATCGATATAGTCAGGATACAGAACATTTCCACAGTTCCACCACCATAGGATTCTTCGTGCTCATAAAGTTTAGAAAAGGGTTATTCTGACTCATGATTGGTTGGTCCCATTGTTCTTCTTTCTCCTATCCCTCTGTTTCCCCCAACTCCTTCTCCTCTTCCTTCTTGTTACAGCTTATAACTATATGTCCCCCCAAGCCTCGTGCACTCTCATAGAGCTTTTGGGAGTGACTGGATCATGGGTGTGTGATGCTGTATTAGTCCACTAATGGGCTTAGCATAGTTCTAGTTCTGGGTGATAGACTTTGTGTTTCTTCTCCTCGGTTCCCTTCCCCTGACCCTTTCCCCTTCCCCTCCTCCTTCTGAGATAGGGTCTCACTATTTTTCCTAGTCTAGTCTAAACTCCTGGGCTCAAGGGACCCTCCTGCTTAGCCTCATGAGTACCTGAGACTACAGGTGTGCCATCACACCTACTGCTTTGGGCCTGTGGTGAGGCAGCACTAGACGACACAGTGATGGGAAGAGACAAAGTTCCCACACTGGATAGCAGACCTCTCACCAAGCCCATCTCTTCAAATTTCTGTCACCTCCCAATGCACCAAGCTGGGGTTTAAACATTTAACTCCTAAGCATTTGGGAGATACCCAAGATCCAGATTATTGCACTGCCCTTTATTACCACACTCATTTCCCTCCAACTCCCACCATCGCCTTAACCCCCAGCAACCATTAATTCATTATCCACTCCTAGTTCTGTTATTTCAAGAATTTATGTAAATGGAATCATATAGAATTAACCTCTTGGTATTGTCTATTGTCATTCAATGTTATTTTCTTTTGCTGTCAACCAAGTTGTTTCATCACAGTATTTTTTTACCACCATATATGTATTATATATACATATATATGTATATATATATTTGCCTATTAGGCCAAGTTCCGTGAAAGCAAGGATTCTGTTTTGGATATTGTACTTATAAGAATATTTGTTGAATGAAGTTTAAAGTTTTTGACATGATCTGTAAGACACCAAATGAAACATGGGTACCTTTCCAACCTCATCTTTCACTTTCACAACCTACCACTCCATTCCTTTACTGACATTTACATACACAAGACCACCTTGCCTTTTATGGCAACATTGTCTACTGTGTAATTTTTTTTTTTTTAGATTGGCTATTTAGAGCAGTGGTTCAAAAACTCTAGTGTGCATCAGAACCACCTAGATGACTGAGCTGATTAAAACACAGATTGCTGAGCTCTAACCCCAGAACTTTTGATTCAGTGCAGCTAGGACAGGGCCTCAGGACCTACATTTCTGATTAATTCTCTGATGATACTGCTGCTACTGGTCCATAGGCCACACTATGAAAATTACTATCTTAAAAAATGTTGAATCCTGCTGCCTTCACCTGTCTGAGTTAGACTTTCAGTTCTTTTTTTATGGCAGAACATAGTGTTTCATGGCCTACTATACTTACCCCATCATATCACCCATTACAGGGTATTGTAACCTTCTATTTGTGTGTTTCACCCACAAGGCTTTATCCTCAGTGCCTTGCACTCAGAATCTGACCAAGAGTAACCACCCAATTTATATGACTGGTTAAATTCTCTCATTTTGACACTTTAAAAGATTCAAATGAAATAACATCTCTATAGCCATAGGATATTTAGAAAGACGTGCTTCTGTGTGCTTGAAATAAAGGCAAGGCTTATGGGAAAATACAGCAAAGTTTTTTTTTATATTGACTTGTTAAGAAGTTTCAGTGTTTACTGCAATTCTTTTCAACCAGAACTCCACACTAAAATAATGACTGACTACAAAGGTCAAGAATGTGAGTTGATAAGAAACTTTACCCATTATCTTTTCAATAAATACTTCAAAGTCTGTATTTTGCTCTTCTAAAATTGCACTCTTTGCCTTCAGACTAAACACCCCAAACCACAAGACTATTTAACACAGCCAAGACTTTGAAATACTCTTCATTCAATTCCCAGAGCAGGCCAGATGTTGAAATCCAAACATAATTTGCCTGCACAGGTCTACAGACCATTACTGTATCTAAAATCCCCAAATCCCTCACAGCTCTAGAAACGTAAAAGTTTTTCCTAAGTTCATGGCAAGTTCATGGCAAAATCCGGCCTAAGGATTGTATCATTGGCCATTTGTAATTATTTCTAGCCTTTATTTAATCTTACTTAGAGTTAATCCTAATGTTTGATTACAAGTAGTGCTCTGGATCCTGCTGGGAGTATATGGCATATATTCTTGTCTAAAATCTCAGCAATTCTGAGTTCTTCAACACATCTGGAAAGAAAGGAGCCGGATAACGAATTATGTGCCTACACTGAGTGAATCATCGATTTCCTTTAGTTTCTATTTTTGTCTACTGTACTCCAAATATTTATTCAAATTCTGCCCCCTATTGTTTTATTGTATTTTATCAAAAATTAGTCTTATTGAAAGTGTTTTTCTTCATCCTGTTTTAATATCAGCTAAATGTGTTGGAAACTACATGTTTCTGTTCATGTATAAGACTCACTTTTTTAAACATCAGGTTATAGGAAATTCTATACTTCTTTGGGATCTTTGTGGCTCACTGAAATCAGATGAATCACTGTCATCCTCATATGAGTCATCACCAGAACAACTAAAGTTATAGACTAAAAAAATATGTCTAGTGGGAAACATTATTTTGGAAGACTGGTATCACATTTACAAGTCAATGACATTTGGCAGTCTCAACAGCTGAAAGTAGAATTTTTGTAGATTAAAATGTAAAGGGGACAAAGAAACATATTATCATTGTAAAAAGAAAAACATAAAACAGAAACAAAATATATTTAGGAGTGAACTAAACAAGAAATGGGGAGAAAATGCTACCAGATCCTTTTTTAGAGATGATCATGAAAACTACTAATACCCAAGATAGCAAGGGAAAACAGATACCATAATCTTGTTTTTTTTTTTTTTGTTTTGTTTTGTTTTTTGAGACAGGGTCTCACTATGTAGTTCATACTGCTCTGGAACTCACTGTGTAGCCCAGGGGCTGGGCTCGAACTCACAGCGATCCTCCTGCCTCAGCCTCCCGAGTGCTGGGATTACAGGTGTGTGCCACCACGCCCGGCCAGATACCATAATCTCATGCTGTTGTTGGTGGAGAAAATATATTTCTAGGGAGAGTCCGTTAACATTCAGAATCTTACAAACGTATTTCCTTTGTCTAGTAATTATATTTTTTTGGATTTATTGTAAGAAAGTAATACGGGAAAGTATATGTTAGAATATGTACTTGGCATTGCTAATAAAAGTAATAAACAAAATAAGTCTACTAATTAAGGATTGACGAACAAATTATTATACCTATACAGTCATTAAAATTATTTTTGACCTGTGCTATTATAAAATGTTTCTAAAGCTCGGCATGGAAGCACATTCCTGTAATCCCAGTACTCAGGAGGCTGAGAATTCGAAGCCAGTCTGGGTTACACAGTAAGTTCAAGGCCAGCCTAGACTACATAGTGAAACGCTGTCTCAAAAAACCGAAAAGAAATGAAAACGAAATGATATGTTTCTCAGCAAAGAACATTAAGAATCACTATACTATGTAAGGTGATGGTTAATTAGCTTTATTGTACTAGTCATTTCATAAGGTATATGTATCTCAACATGTTGAACACTTTAAATATATATGATTTGGTCAACTATACCTAGTAAAAACTTAAAATATATATAACTTACCTAATTTACCTGGAAAGACCCAGTTATTATTGGGAGGTAACAGCTTCAACCAAAACCTTTGGGTATATGAAAACGCTACAATTTATAAAGTAATTCCTGGGGGTCGAAGCAATATTCTACAATCAGGAGATGCCACAGAACTACTAGTTACTATTTGCAGAGGAAAAACTAGGCATTGGAGGAAGCCTCCACCAAGGCAGACGTAAGGTGAAGAGGTTTCCGGGAGCTCGCGCCTAGCCCTGCCGATCCGGGCACAGGCGACCGGAAATACGCCCAACGCGCCACGCCGCCCAGAGGATTCTGGGCCACGGCGGGACGCCTTTCGACCTCAGAAGGAGGAAACGGACTTTTAAAAAAGAAAACCGTGGGTTCATTCCTACCACCAAAAAAAAAAAAAAAAAAAAAAAAAAAAACCACG